ATTACCTGCGAGGATATTACAGAAATGAACAAATATTATCGAGACGAAGAACTCGCGTGATTGCATAAATTCGACACTTATCATCTTGGGCATCTAGGTACTTTGCGAAAACTCCTATGCATAATAAATAATCACCTCGTTTTGTCGTTATTTTTTAAAATAAAAACAAACGTTTAAGTTAATCGTTGCTAATAATAAAATTAATAGCATAAAATGATAATCGATGCTGCCTTTGCATATCGATCCATTGTTTCTGATCGTGATTCTTTATAATATAATACATCTTTTATTTTGTAAAAAATATACTTACGCGCTTTACTAATGATCAATAACTAATGAAACGGTTATCTGATAATCTTCTAAATCTATGAATGAGAAAGTATAAATACAGCCCTGAAAAAATTCGGTCGCAATTTAGAATAACTGCGCAAATTGATGCGTATGAATTAAAGAATCAATCGGTTCCGCTTTTACGTAACGTATTTTCGAAAATATCTTTACAGATCTTGAGAGTTTTGTTACACAAAGACGAATGACATAAACTGTTTTTACAAACTCAATTTTCATATCATCTACCATCATTCCATAATGCCAGGTGATATTTTTCTTTCGGTCGTCATTGCTACATCAGTCATTTATATTTCAATACAGATAATGATGTATTTATATATTTTACAGCAACGAGATTGCCTCATTTGTTGCAAAAGCGTTTTCATTTATAAAATTGTATAGAGTGATTTGATTATACTCCGAGCGAGATTGCTCGCGGAATTAAATTTTTTCCATGTCCGCCCTCGCAAAATTGCACGGCATTCGATGGAAACTGTAAGTCTGATGATCGTGCCTCGAGATTCATTTCTTTAGACTCGATTCGAGAGAATGTCATAAATTGTACATGAAATTTATATATTCAAATCAACGTTGAATTGTGTGTATCGATATTCATAACAATCTTGATTTTTCATACAAAAATTTTTTCCAACAGGCACAATCAATCAGACGATAAAATATATGTTTCAGAAAATTGTACGCTTTTTGGAATATCTTTCTTTTTTTTCCACCGTTTTAGTATTTAAAAAAAAATTATGTGGAATGTGAGAATAATTTTTAAGCTAATTATAAGAAGCGTATATGTAATTATACGTTTTGTGTAAATTCATGTTAAATTTTTCTCTCAGTCATTATGTGAGATTATGGTGAGCGCAAAGTCAGCAAGAAATCTGACAATATCATAATACACGCACACAAATAACACACATACGCATACACACACACACACACACACACGCACGCACGCACACACACGCACGCGATTTTGCCACGCATGCATAAGCGCACATGTCATTAATACTTTTGTAATCGCTCTATTTGAAGACCATGACACGAATCGCGGTAAACAAATATGAATGCTTTAATTAAATAAAAAAAATTTTTATGTTCAAAGCGGATCTTAAATACTTTAATTATTTAAAATAAATTTATATTTATTTTTTATTACACAAACCGCCAAATTATTTTTCCGGTCTTAAAACGCATTTATGCACAGAAATAGATTATTAAATATTAAATTGTATAAGTAATTTAATAATTTTTTATGCTAATAAGTATTTAGTAAGAATATTCATTTCGTGATGTTAATAATTAATGATCTCAAAAACTGCTAATAATTTTATTGCGTAAAATATTAATTTTTTTTGGCCAGAAATTAGATTCGCAAATGTAATGATACGATTATATGTTAAAATCATATAATAGAATTAATATTTATTATATAATTTGAATTATATGTATATAGTTAATTTGTAATTAAAATGAAAATAGTATAACAATACTAATTTACAAAATTAAAAAATAAATTTATTTTAATTACTTTAAATGTAATTACTTTAGTAATTACTTTATTAATTACTTTACATGAAGTTGGAATATATCACTTGTACTATTATTTTAATATGTATAAGTACACAATCTTTAATTAAAAATTTGGAAGAAACAAAGTTCTTTTTAAAAAATTGGAAAATGCAAAATAAAGGTTTAAATTTCGAAGTTCTATTTTTTTTCTTAAGAAAATTTACAGAATAAATTTTTGTCCATTGTCTGTGATTTTCTTCTATTCTCCGCGAACAAATAATTTATTTGCATCAGAAAACAAAAATAAAGTCATTGTGCAATCGAATAAGCAATCATAGTTCATATTAAATCGAATCAAAGCGTGATCAATCAATGGAGGCAACGACCTATGTGTGAATTATAAACGTGCCATGATTCATTTACGGACGAAGTGGCTGTCTCTCACGGAATTTAATGTGTCATATGACGTCATCAGAATCCAATCTTAGTAGACGATTCGTTGACTAAGATACATTTGCATTCCACAACAAACTCATATTTAAGTCGCCGAAGCGATTTCGTGTCACTGGTATTTCGATGACTCTTGCGATGTTATTTATATATATACATATATATATATATATAAACATATATATAGCGATACATATACACACACTCTGTTAATTTATATTCATGATAAAATAAGAACAATAACGACCGATCACCTGCCAGACGTAAATTTTAATTGATCCTCCGAAACATGCTCACGCGACATACATATAGTTACTAATTGTACCATTGCCGATTACCGACTCGAAGTATAACGAATATGCGACATTTTTAATAAATTATTTTGAAGATTGCCTGCGCCTCGTTTTCTTTACAAAATACGCTCACTCCGTCATCCTCAATTATACTACAAAGCATCTTTCCTAAAAACTAACGTATTATTGATTTTTCAATCATTATTAATTCCAATAATAATCTCTTTTAGGATTATCGTAATTTGATGTGTATGATACATTTTATGCGTTTACATATCAAATATGAAAACCATTTTAAAAATCTTTAAAATTAAAAACATTTTTGATAAGTTTTCATGGCAAACATTAAATCAATCTGAGTCGCTGTTACCTCCTAAATGATGGATTACCGATACATTCTCTAAAACTAATATACTATATTAATAATTTTCAAACAAATTTGTATTAGCTTGTTAGAAAATTGGTTAATATATTTCTAACTTGTAACTTTGAGAGAGATTAAACTGTTATTATTTATTTATTTTTTATATGGATTCTTTTCAACATTTTAGTTGTTAAATACTCTGTCAGCTAATGCTAAATATCATAAAAAGTTTGATTCGTAATCTCATGTGCTGAATAATGCGGAACAGTGAAAGAATCGTTCTACTTACTGTATATTAATAAATAATTAGTTTATAATCTCTTATAGTTTTAATTAACTAATTTTAATTATAGATCGATTACTCACTTATTTGATCTCTCTACTCTATTCATATTAATTTGTATTGCAATTTCCATAGACTGGAAAATTAATACTATTAATCTATATTGATAGGAACGGGCATTAGAGTTTATTTCATTGGTATTTGGATTAATATTAGAATCTATATATGTTTCGGAAAATGATGGATGCAATCGAAATTCTAGAATGAGGTATCTGACACTCAAACAACAAAGTTTTTATTTTTTGTTAAATAATATGATAATAATTAAAGTAAATGTGTAAATGTATAATATCATGCTAATTTAATTAATTACAAATTTTTGTATAAAATATAAGACAATTATTATTACATTAAAAAAGTTATCACTCTTTTATACAAGTTAATTTCAAAACTAATAAGTCATATATATATATATATATATATATATATATATATATTTGTCACTTTAGAGAATAACAAATAAAATTATACTCATTTTTCTTATAGAACTTTTTAATTTTGTTAGTCATTTATAATAAGGTTAATCTACATATGTTATATCAACATATGTTGATACCATCGTACTTTATAAATGCCATTGTGATTTAAAGGTTATATAATTTAATTATAAATAAGATACTGATCAAAGCATTAATCTATCTTTTAAGAAAAGTATATACGGCTTCAATAAGTAAAAAGTAAGAGTGCACTATTTTACAACTTCAACAAGTACGTATCCGTTTGAAACAATACAAATGATAGCCTTAGTTACGATAAAAAGAATAATTGGTAGGTGAAAATATGTAAATGGTTAATAAAAAAATGTTACAAATTTTTTAAACAGATATCTGTTTTATCCAAAATTAATTAACTTTAAAGATATATTGCAAACGTGCCATGCCTTAACTTATGTTTATAGGTTTAAAAACATATTACAATTAATTAAAAAATAATTTTTTTTGTTTCTTAATCAAAGATTTCCATTTTATTTGGTCGTTCAATCAGTAACTGTATTATTTTCTTTTGATATTATATACATAAAATAATACAATTTCTTTTCTTTTTTTTTACCGAGATACTTTACTTTTTGTAAAATGCAAAAAAATATGTTTATTATGTAAAAGATCCATTCTTTATTTCCCCCCACCATTCCAAGTAGCGTAATATAAAAAAGAATGGCCCGAAGAGGAACAACTCAGTATCAGACTGCTCTTCGCCCTGATAAAGTGGACTGCAAGGTTCACGAAACGTTGGCATTTCAAGAATGGATCTGGACACAGAGGAAACCCGCGAAACGCATAACTTTTATATAGAAAGCATCCATGGAAGCCTCAAGAATATGTTTATATGTATATTTATAATATATAAAATTAAGTATATATCTTTATAAATATATTTCACGTTGTTTTATAAAGAGCAATATTGTACAAAAAATATATATATGCATTAAATGTACATTTAAATACCAATTTTTTAAGTAATATATATAATGTATTTAAATTATCGAGTATATGATAAATGTACAAAATTCTGTATTAAGCTTATGCATCACTTCACAAAATATACTTTTTAATACCAATCTTTGTATTTAAATTCTTCAATTTGATTATGACATTTTGGATTTAAAGTTACGTGTTTTTACGAACATTTTATGTACGTAAATCTTCTTAATGTCATGTGTATATTTAAATATATCAACATTTAAAAAAAATCAAAAAGTTTAGCCTGACAGATCAAACGATCTCATTATAGTTTCGTGAATCCAGCTTGTATACGAAGAAACCCTAGTGAAAACGCCGGGTGCATTACTAGGGCAATATGCGTCTCCGTAACTCACAATACCGATTTGAATGTCCATGCCATTTTCCACTACAACGAGTGGGCCACCGCTGTCGCCCTAAAAGTGAAATATCAAATATTAAATATACGAAAAAAATACCGTCAATGTTCATTTATTAAAACTAGCTAAAAAATATTTGAGTTGATTCATAGTTGCTTATTAAAGTATTTCACTTATAGATATTTACTACTCTAGTGATTTATTTTATAGCATTATTTTACTATTTTTGATTATTTTACCTGACAAGCGTCTCGTCCTAATCCTGGTGCCGTGCAAACCTCTTTCTCAGTGATTTGATACCAGAATTGCCTACATACAGTATTTTTAATAATCGGCAGTGCAGCGTACTGAAGTCTTGTCGAAGCTTGGCCATTCGTGTGATCTATTCCCCAACCGATTACAAAAGCAGATTTACCGTCAAAATTTTCTGAGTCTTCATAAGCAAGGTTTATCGGTCGAATAGTTCCTAAAATAGAGAAATGTGTATTTAACTATTTTTTAATGTCAATGTTGCAACATTATATTAATATTCATAATATTTTTTAAGGGGAGAACCTGGTTTAAAGAATCAAAATTTTCGATTCTTTTTACTTTAATCAATAATATTACTGTAATATTATATAAATAAATAAATTTATTAATAGTTTTTTAACATATTAACATCTTTATAATATAATGCTTGATTTTAACATTAAATTATTAAAATTGCTGGTTAATTTAATTCGCGATTACTAGAGTAGTTTAATTGCGTTTATAGTCCGGAAAAACAATTTGGCGCGCAGTTCGAAAGACTACAATATGGTATATATAGTAGTTCAAGATTGAATTATTTAAGCAATGAAGATACAGCTTCGATCGTTATAGGCATTTTAATTTCTAGTATTAATTGTGTTCTCACATATGCAGTTTAAAATAAAGATTCTTAATAATATTACTTTCAGAAATCGTAAAGTTTTAGACCGAAATTCGAAATACTTTCGTAGTTACAGCCTGAGGAACAGGTACACGTCGCGCATGCAGGTATAAGCGCACGGGAACACCCATTGTGCTCCGCTTCTCTAGCAAGATATTATTGACCTTAGCAGTAGGGTTGGTAAAGACTAATGTTTTTTTTTAAGAATATATTGTGTTTTCTTCTTGAATATGTTTTTAATGCTTCAAATATGCTTACAGTATTATAAAAAAAAAACATATTTAAAACATATTAAAAACAATTAAGCATGTTTTGAACTGTTTAAAGCATATTTAAAGCCTCAGATGTCATGTCATCCTTGTTTAACGTTCAACGAACAACAAGAATGACATGACATCCAAGGAGCACCAGGTGGGAATATGAACATATCCAGAATGATTTTAAAAATCTCTAAAAATTCATCAACGTGCTTTCAACTTTCTAGAATAAATATTTATTTTGGAAAATAATAAAATGTAGTATAATTTATAATTATCGAAAGACTCAAAGAAACTTGTACGAACAAGAATCGCTCGGTCACCACTGATCCGACTTTGTGTGTACGATAAGGGTTAATTTAAATATACTTACTGGAGAACGGAATATCATGCGGCATATAAATTAGAGCAATATCATTCAAGCCCGCACTGTAATATGGATGTACGACCGCTTGAGTCGCCATCATGGATCCACCGGGTCCTTGATGAGTATCGTAGCTTATCCCATGAGGGACGTTAACAATACCGAAAATTACCAAAAATCTTCGTGGGTATTTTTCCGCACAATGAGCGGCTGTGAGAACCCATCTTTTTGATAAGATTGTTCCTCCGCATTGTCCGACCATTCCGTTACCTAGGATTTGATGCACCACTACTATGTACGGAAAATCTCCGAGTCTTGCGTATTGTCCACCCGCTATTTTAGTTATTTGATCTCCTAGATTTAGAAAAAATTATTAAATATTGTGTTCTAATACAATATATGTACTACTAAATACTTACCATAATTACTCAGGCCTTTTACGAAATTATAATTAGGTGTACGTGTGTATGTATGGGACTGACTTTGAATATATTGATACATTGTTAATGAAATTAGAAAATGCAAAAATATTTTCACATTTTTCAAATTCATGATGGATTATTTCGTAAATTTGAGAAGTTATTTCGACAAAACTTTAAAATGTAAGATTTTCAAGAAATATAAAAAAAAGAAATTTATTTTTAATTTGTGTACAATAAACTTGTATAACTCATACGAACTTATATTAGTTTCGGACTTATAACTGTACTAGGATTTTGTGTAACTACTCTTGTAACAAACTCAAGGAACTGTCGCTGCAGTCCAAAAATTTTCCTTTTATAAGACTCGATAAGATGTTTCTGCTTTAGTGGAAAATTTGAATACTCCTAGCATGTTAGAAAATCCATAGGGCATACTTACGCATCTAAATCTTTCGTTTTTACTGTCCGACTGAGATTGGGTTATTCCATCTTTTGGTAAACTTCAGCTCACTGTCTTACTCTCTTACTCTTTTATGCTGTTACTTTTTTACTCTTTTGTTTATCCAATAGACAAATTACCACATAGTTTATCTGAAAATGGAACAACCGGCTCTAAGAATGATAAACCGAGATAAGTGTGTGTTTAATGTGTAACCTATCAGAGTATCTTAAATTCATTCAAAGAATTCTAGAGCGTTATCGAACAGGAATTCTTTGGATTTGCCGAAATACCTAAGCCATGAGTATTCCAAAGTGCCCTAACTACCTGAGTACCCAAAATTTTCCTCGAAACCGTTTCACTTTCATCTGAAATATTTTTTTGAGTTATCGATAATTTCGGAGAAAATTATTTGTATTACACAAGGTATATTATTTTAATTTTATATACATATATATATATATATATATATA